AGAGGCTAGGACCTTGGTCCTCTCGTGGCTCTAGCATCGGAACCTCGGAAGGAGGTGGAGGCGGGATCGACACTTGTGACTGGTACTGACTACCATATTGAGAATGGTATTGGGAGTCGTACATCTGATACTGAGAGTTCCGCTGAAGCTGATATTGCTGCTGTTGACTGGGATACGTTGGACCTCCATTGGCTGACCATTGATGTGAGTGTTCTATCCTCTTTGCCTGCGAATGCGGCACCTTCTTACTCTTCGAATTACTATTATACCCCCCAGAGTCCATGCGTCGCTCATACGCTGTTTCTGTTGACATAGTGTGGCTGGCAGCAGTGCGTGCAATAACGGATGGAAAGCCATGATCGCGATTCGCTCGATGCTTTCGAATTTGTTTTCTTCTCCATACAAAAAGTGATCCAATACCGAGAAGAATAATAAAGACAGCGACGACAATGATAATGACAGTTGTGCCTGAGCCTGAGTTTGTAGACTCTGGATCAACAGCAGTCACAGATGTGATAACTAGCGGCACTATGAGGCACCTTACATTTAGAATCGTCAATGACGTCATTTTGGCCTCGTGATTTATCTACTGCTTGTTGAGGAATGAGAGCCCAGCTATTGTACCGGTATGGAGTTCTTGAATTGGGATTAGGGCCGGCTGTAAAGAACTGATGTAGACTATACTGACGTAGCATCTGGCAATTAGGTAAGCAGAGGCGTCATGTTGTACGGAAAGGCTCATGTGTCCGTGCTATTAAAATTGATATGTAAAGCACTCAGTATGATGGGAATATAGCATTAGGATGAGATTCATTAATAGATGAATTAGCCTTTGTGAGGGCAAGTCACTGATGTTTTAGCCTTTGAAACGAGTCAGTTTACCGAACTAAGGTACTTACAAAAAATGAGTTCAAGCTCACGGTATGTGATATGCTGCCACGCTCAAAAAGATTCCGACAGTGTATACAATGAAAAAACAAGGCTTAGTGATCAATATTTCAATTCGTCATAAACCGTTATAAAGTGACTTTTCAGGTCTTGATGAAATCAATCATTGAGCGCAAGAAAGCATCGGCCGTACCAAAATATGACTATCAGTCAATTATATCATCACCTTCCAAACAGCGCGATGGTAGTGCAAAGCGACATAGTAGCGCGACAGCTGCGTGCCAGATCGAATGTGTTATCACAGCTAAGTTCTTGGAGGCACCAAATTGGGATGAAAGCTGGATAAGCTATCGCTATCATAAAGCGATTTTCGGAATATGATTTGATGTCTGGGATTTATTTCTAAGTATTTCTTCTACTTTGATGTTAAATTAATGGATACAACTAATAGCAATGGGGCAAGAAATCAAAGATAGTCACATGTCGTTGGTCAGTTAAGGTTGGGGTGACACACAATTTGACTGCGGTCATTAATGAAGACAGCGCGTGACTGACACGATTAGACGTATGATCTAATTCGTAAATTCGTATATTTTCAAAGTTATTCTATGATCGACAAAACGAAAATAATACACATTTGCATACATGCAAAATAAGAGAAACAAAGTGCGAAATATATTACAACTTGCGCACGAGGTCAAATTTCGTGTTCGGCAAAGCTATCTCAGATCAACAAGCCAGAATTACGATTCTCTTGCTTGTGCAAGATCAGGCTCGGTGCATCTGCATGTAATATTGGAGCCAAAATTAAGACGCTCTCCAGCAGAATTGAAGCTTATGCCCAGGTTAGTCGTCATTTAAATTTCGAACTATGCGAGGCCACCAGTTAGATTGAGAGGCATTTTGCAGCTATATGCCATGTTATATAGAGGTATGTAATGTAGTACAGTGCGTACATGTGTACATACACCCCACACTTCTTTGCACAACTGTGCAAACTATATTATTGTACTATCATATGAACTTTGTAAGTACCGAAGTATCAGCACTGATGGAAATGTTGGAACCGGATTTGCGTTACTCTTGGGCTGCTAACCGCACGTCGCAAGATAAAGGAAGCGGTAGTAAAACAAGTATTGCTAGTATCCGTTCAAAGAAGAACACTGAGAGTCAAAGCTTCTTCTGTGCAAATTGCGCGATGCGCTTGGCGGCACTAGTAGTCGATTTCTGATTAAATCGTTAAAGGACTGCATTTTCCGCGAGATTGGAAAATAAAATTTTCATGTATCCGTATTATAACAGCTGGACCATTTTCACAAACTTACGTATATCGTGGGCCCGACAGGATTAAAGAGGTGACGGTCAAAAGGCTGATGGTAGTGATTGCTCGTCTCGAGATGCTCATCAGCTATAAAAATGCGCTTGTCAGGCTCATCCAAAAGCACATGAACCTGATGCCGGTGGGGAACATATCTTACCCACTGTTCGGCCGCTGATGTGAGCGGCGAGGCATATAGGGGGCGTTGATACCTATGGGATCAGAAAACTAGCAATCGTAGAGCCTAAGGCGGAAATTGTTTGGCTGGAAACGCTCACCAGCGCCGCGCATTAAGAATACACTAGTAAGACATATGCCGGAGCGCATCAACGAGCACGTCGGTACGACAAACGGTATCCACCGTGAAGCCGATGATATTCAGCATCCAGGAGTTTGAGGGTCGGGCGTTTAAGTTTTTTCACCTGTACAAAGGTAGTTGAGAAGGTCATGGAATTGGCTATGCCCCAACCGAGCTTGTGGTCTTCATGCTAGGTGTACTCACGGGAGAGTGTGTTCCTACGCGTGACACCTCGGTAAAAGGCGTGACAAGTTTTGAAGCGACAGGTTTCGCGGGTGTACACGCCTCCAGGAGAAGCGCATGATATGCAATTGAGGATTTGTACACCCGTTCAGATAGGCAAGTTCTGCAGGACTATGTCCACAAAACTCTCCTCTCCGCAATTAAATGTAACCTTCATCCGGTGGTGGGAACACCTACCAATTTCATGTGGGGCCTCCGAACGGAGTGGTCAGCACTCACCTCATCTGCTGTTAGGAAGGATTAGGTGGTGCATTCAATGCGGGGTATGACTTCCGTGCCGCGAGAGTTTGGGGGAACTGAGACTAGTAGCTCTACGAGCGCGACAGAGGCGCTTAATCTTGGTCATGCTGGGGGAATAAAATGTACATACATTACAACTATGTTTTTGCGTACCCCCTACTCTCTTGGATGAGATGTACGGAGAGTCGTGCTCTCACGCAGATGTAACTCCACATGACTATATATGTGAAGTGGTGCCTCGCGGCGACAGACATAAGTACAGAATACGGTTTGATTCTTTCGGGTGGAAACCACGCAAGAAAAATACATACTGCTCGTTAAGCGCTATGTATTGGCGGTTTAACATGTATAAGTGGGTAAACACGTATGTCGCACGTTTTAAGCGTATGAACTGGCGAGAACCGCGTCATTCCCGGCAGCACCGTTGGTCAGCCTGCTGATTCCGACAAATTGCTAACTCGGTGCGTTAATCGAGATACCGGTACTGTGGTCTTGATGAACTATTTGACCAAGAGGGTTCATCATGATGCTGTCGGCGACACTGTGACCGGTGAGTATACAGCAATGCTATTTTTCGACAAAATGTTCCCCAGTATGGATTGACGGATACCAATTTCTTGAAATTAGTTCCTAGCTTCACTGCGAAGTGACATTTTTCAACATGCTTGGCTCTAGATTTGATACGTCAATTTTCTGATATTTGCCTGGCACTGCTTTGCTACAAAATCAGTGATTTTACTTGATCAGATAAAGTGTTACGCGCGCACAATAGCTGAGAGACAAGCGATCAAGAAATTAACGCTTAAACCAGGGACAAACGAAATAAAACAAATATGTTGCGGGACAAATTTTTTTTAACCAGCCTACACATATAAGGAGCTGTGACAGTGGTACATCGAATAATTCACGGTCGTATCGAAGAGGGTGGTGGGTCATATATTTAACGTTCTGACAATAATACGAACACATCATGAGCTTTACGTGTGCTGACTAGCGGTATCACCGTGTCGCTTAAACGGGCCAGTCCGACATGAAGCGCTCTGTCTCAAACAAAGCAGCGTAGACATAATTTCCTAAGCGCTGAGCGTCCCTCTGTGTTAAAGCATCGACGCGGTTTTGAAAAGCACAGTGCGCTGAGAAGGCTCAGCAATCAAATTTGTCTTGTCTGGGGCCGAGGTGAGGCCTCGTATTGACCTCATCGCACGCTGGAATCCTTAGAGTGAATTATCGGGGTCATGACAACCAGCAACGCAACACACGCTGCATTTGATCCACACGATGAATGTATCGCCTTCACAAAAGTGGGAATGTCGTTATTGTTACATGCGATACATTATAATCGGGTCGACGTGGAAGCTCGTGCGTCGCGATTGATCTGGCTGGCTTATACCACAGTCTCAAGGTAAACTCGGCAAAGATGAAGAGCCATCTTGTCATTCTCCGTGGAAATGACAAAAATCGAGATCGCGCGAGTTCGCTTGGTTTTCGTTGGTGCAATCTCGGTCATATCTAAAGATTCACTGCACGGCTTTAGTGATCAAGGATCTCTATAAATTGTTTCGTTTACTGTCTTTAAAGGTGCGGAAAAATGATTATTCCCTTTTATTTTCTTGATTTTTAATAAATGGATGCTGATAATTGACACATTTTTCATCTTTTGATGATAGAAAACCGCATTCATACACATTCATACAGTTATAAATTCAAAATTCTTTAAACCCCAAACACCCGTCAAGAAAATTTTGATTAGGTATATTTTGCCGTTGTTAAGGTGGACCAAATGGTACATCTATTTTTCATTTTTAGCCACTCTTAAACGGTCTTTCTGAAAAAATCCGCCATTCTTGTCAGAAAGTAGTCAGTGCGTCTATTTCACCTGGACGGGCCTCTGTCATTCTGCCTTCGTGGGGAGAAGCGCGGATTCTCATTGACATGGGTTTGGTGGCATTCATCACGTGCGGCTCGTGCGCGCGCCGTCGTAAACACACCAACGAAAACTTCCCGGAGACCATCACTATCCCTACTCCATCCTCTCAGCCACACAACGCTGCGTTGGCCCATCACCATGCGTACGATATGGACGGCCCCCGTCTACCTATTACAAGCAATCACCACCACCTTGATGGCCGCATCAGTCATAAAAATGATCCGCGGATTGAGCGACGGACCTCTACTCCACAGCCTCGAGCGTCCACTGGAGTGTCTCGGGGGCCGAATCGAGTGTCTAGCGGTGCTGTTAGAGTCTCGAGTGGCCCGAACAGAATCTCGAACGGCCCAAACAGAGTGTCTACTATTCAAAACAGAGTATCTACTGGGCAACAAAGACCACGCAACGGATCGCATCCGAACCAGCCGCATCCCGAACAGAGGCCACGTCGGCAACAGCACGATCGCAATGGGCGACAAGAACGGCCTGTAGCTCCGGAGAAACAGCGACAAGAACGACCGGTTGCTCCAGATAAACCGCGTTCGGGCACAGGTTCCGGAAGCTCGGGCAATAATCGCGACCTGGAGATCACAGACAGGTCGAAAGAGGTTGCAAGCAAAGTTCTTCAGGAGTTCCAGTCGGACCCAATACTTGGTAAAATGCGTATTCCTTATTCATCTTTATACTTTACGCGCGTTTTGAGCAAAGGAGCGTTCGGAGAGGTGTGGCTTGCACAATTAGAGAATCGACAAGTGGCCGTCAAGCGAATATTGAATGAGAAGAAAAACGATGAAAAGGAAATTGAGTGCTTTGGTGCTGAAATAAAATTGATGGCATCATTTTCACATCCAAAGATTGTTGAATTCCTAGGTGTCTCTTGGAGTTCCATGCAAGACGTGTGTGCAGTTACCGAGTATATGGGCAAAGGTGATTTGTATGGCTTCCTCAAGCGCCGACAGGGACAGCTCAATTGGCGTGATCATAAGATTTTTTTAGCTGAAGATGTGGCAGACGCTCTCGGATATTTACACAGTTTATCACCTAAAGTAATTCATCGAGACCTTAAATCGAAGAATATTTTATTGGATGACTCTTTCCGGGCAAAATTAAGCGACTTTGGCATCAGTCGCGAACGATCTGTTGAAGATACAATGACTGCAGGTGTCGGTACAATATATTGGACAGCACCTGAAGTGCTTATGGGCAAAAAATATACCGAGAAAGCCGATATTTTCTCGTTTGGTATTGTCATGTCTGAGCTTGAGACACATGCAGTTCCGTATTCGGACAAGCGCGACAACGCGGGCAAAAAGTTACAAGGCATGAAGATTGTACAAATGGTGATTCGACGAAATCTGCGACCGACATTCTCAACTGAATGTCCCAAGCTTGTCAAGGAGCTGGCAGATCGCTGTTTAGACTCGGATCCGGATGCTCGACCTAGCGCCTTGGAGCTGCTTCGACTCATTCAACACATGCAAAACCTTTTGTAAGATGAGTGGGGGATTGTACTATTTCAGTAAAAAGTTATGATACTGTGACATACTGAGCGTATATGATTCTCATGGCTAGATGTACCTCTGTACTCACATACTCGTATCGATACTACTACAATTGCCGTACTTTTAGTATTATACTATACATTCTCAATAGTCCAGCAACGTTTTACTTAAATATCCGTTTTTTATTATCATGGTGGACCAGGAAGAAACGTTACTGTCCTATGGGTCACCACGGCGGGGCTTCTCAACATCGGTGCACAGCTGTGTTGATGATGCGCTGCTACTAAAAGAAGGAGAGAGGGATCCAATGAGCTTGCTTGCGTACTATCGCCAGCGCTGTGAAGATTTTCATCTTGAACGTGAGCAAACCTTAGAACATTTGGCACAAATCGAGGTGCGCGTAAAATAGTAATACATTATGTAGTACTGTGATTTATATCAAGATTAAAAGAATGAATACTATTGCAGGTTTCTAAGGGAAAAATGCATGAGCTTAAGTGGGAGCTCAAAACCAAAAACGAGGAGGTGTGAATATATTTCTTTCAATTTGATTATGCAGCTTTTTATGTTCTTGTACTATTTTTTATCTAGCACAGATTTCAGAATTGGAGGCATCATTAAAAACAGTAAATGATGAAGTTTTTCAATTAAAATCAGACCTGATTGATCTTCAGGCGGAATGTGAATCACGAAAGCTTAAAGAGCAGGACGATCTTGTAAAAATTCAACACTTACTGGCACTTACTCAACCAATTACTGAGCAGGTGACATTCTTTCGAGATTGTCGACCGAGTTCGCGGACGACGTACCCGTCAGCGATTCCAAAGACATACCCGTATCCGTCAACAATGCATATTGGATCAGAAGAAATGCTGCAGATAGAGAAGGAGCATCAGTCAGGTTTTGTGGTTCGAGGAAACGCTCCGAGTCTCAAGAATATGATAAAATCGATACCACCAAACAAGGTGCTTCGTACTATTTACATGCCTAGTGAGCAGACAGCGGCATTAACAGCGACCATTGAATCTCTACAAAGTCAACTTAAGTCTCATCGGCAACTCACTGAAGCGCGAATCCAGGTACGTTGAGGGACTAATGAAGTTTAATTGATTGTATTGATTAATTTGCTTTGATACTAGTCCCTTTTAGATGATTTTGCAAAAGAAAAAGCAAAAATGCTACTGCATCAGCAGCAGATAGAGGAGAAGAGCATTCAGCTCGAAAAACAAGTCGAAAAGACGACGCAAATTCTTACTCAAACAACTAAAGACTATTTAGTATTACGCCACAAGTCGCAAGAAGCGGAACGTCTCGCGCACGAAGAGATTTTTCAAGTGAATCAAACGTGTGAAACGTTGACATTAGAGAAGACTAAGTTGACGGAAAAGGTGCGGGAGGAGGCTCACGCACTGCGTGTTGTGGCTCAAGCAGAGAGCACGCAGACTGTGTTACGTAAACAAGCTCTTTCGCGCGAACGAGATTTACATATTCTGAAAGAACAGTATGCAGCCATGCAAGCAGCATGTACTAAACGAATCCAAGATCTGCAGATTCGCTTAACAAATTTACGAAATCGATATCGAAATTTAGATCAACGTCGCGCAATGGAAATGGAAGGATTTACGCGAGACCTGGCAGGACTGAAGCGACATTTGCAGAAATTAGAGGTTATTCTTTACGGTAGGGGACTTACAGCTCAAGAGCGCCAAGTGCTACGATATGGTAAGTCGTTTGACTGATAGCATTTTGTGTACGAAGATGCTGATATTCATGCTGCAGACGAAAACTATGCATTAACTTCGAACGAGCTTAGTGAAGAAATCGCAGCTTTGCAGCGGCGCTTGATGGATCTATCGGCTGATCTTGCCGAGGCATAAGAGTTTAAGCATTTGCTATAGAAAGCAGGGCTCTATACCAATTTTCTGCTTGATAAATTTGACTATCTTACGGCCTCGTTTAAACGCTTCCGTCAGAATATTGGTTCCACGTCTTCCGCCATTAAGGCATGCTTTAATAACGAGAAATGTCTAATTCAATCACGATATCATCCTCATGTCTATTGCTAGTCTTTACTTATGGTACAAGATAATCACTGCCTCTTAGATTGGGTCCGCAAATTGCTAACATTTACTCCCCAAAGTGCCGCTATCGCAATGGGAAAAGCAAGCCACATCAACGTCATTCGCTGTGTTGGCATCTTCGAATTATGTGCACGATATCGTTTTCGCTCCGCAAGGTTTGTCGCTCTCCGTCCAATCGCAGCGGGGGCAACATGTGATCTCAGTCTATGGTACTGTGCTGTAGAAAAGCGTTCATAATCGTTAAGTCCTCCAAACATATTATGCACGTCCTTCGAGCTCATGGGCTTGTAGTCTCCTGATGCAACTGTTACTCGACCTAATTCGTCTGAAGCAGTCGATACGCCAAACATTTCAATGTCATACTTTGCACGCGTCGTATCATTGCTCAGCAGATCGTATGCGGCATTAATTCGCAAAATCTTCGCGTCCTATAAGGTTTAAACGATTTGTAAGATATACACTGATCAAATATAATTAACACGACATTATCATCAAACTACCTTGCCGTCAGTTTGTCGAGTGGAGCCTCTGGTCTGGGCGTGATTGCGATCCGGATGATGCTGTAGCACTGCCTTAATGCGAAGATAGTAAGATCGCAAGCAAAACTCATAATATCGTAACCTAGGGAACAGACGCACCAAGCTTGCGGTATGCATTCTTTATATCGTCGGTCGAGGCCGAGCGTTCGATGCCCAGCACCTCATAATAGTTCGGCTGTAGGTGCTTTCTATCGCGTTGCGCCATGGTACGAATGCTTTCGATTTATAGAAACGATTTTAAGGTAAGCGGTACTATATTTTGACTGTTTGTTGAAAAAGAGACTTAGGATTTAAAAAGACATTTTAAGCCTCCAGATAAAATTTGCCAATTACACGCGAATTTCTCGATCCGAGGATTCATCTAAGTGGCGCTGTCGGAAACATCACTGTCACACTAGCTGCATCCTTTATGAAAAATGGTCTACGAACCTTAAGATAAAACTCGAGCTGGTCTTTTGTCACTGTGGTCGAGTCCTCTGACGATGGAAACTAGGGAAATCACAATTTCACACAGTCAGCAGATGCTATGTTCACCGATACATGATAAGCAACGCACCGAAAAGCGTCCGTTTTGACTCGTTGAGCTCGTTGTAGACTGCGTATCGTCTGAAGGGGGCTCTTGGTATTTTTCATGGTTAGCTATGCGCGCCCACATCATCATCTGTTTTTGAAACGCGCTGGGATGTCAGACACTTGAGTCAGCAACGCATTACGATACTTCAAACGGGTCCTTTACATTACATATTCGATTCTTCGCTGTCTTCACGAACAGTATCGAACCTTTGAGACTGCAAAGGTCGACGGTAAGTCTGCTTGGACGGTAACGTAAGGCAGTTGGCCCGGCCGAACAGAGGACGCGAGCTTTTTGGAATAAATATGACCTGTCGTTGATTTAAAATAAAGCCTCAATATGAGTATTCAATTCCTGATTAACCAAATAGAAACTCAAGAGTGAAGACCCCCGACCTTCATATCCTCGAAGTTCTCGTCTTCCACGCAGTAGACATTCACTGCAATACAGTCAGGTTGTGTGTGGTCGAACTGGAAGATATGAATACCTGTCATACAGGAACACTTAAAAAATTAAAAAGCTAAAATATCAGACCATCAAGCTTACCACATTTAGCACAAAATACATGCTGACATGAAGTAGCTTGACTATCATACAGTGATACGTCTGATGACTCTAACATTTCAAAGCAAGAGGTCGAAATAATCTAAAACAGAATATCATTTTCATGATCAAATCACTTCGATAGGATTTTGATCGCCACGCACCAGGAACGGGAATCTTCCTCGTTTACATGAAAACGTATTGCTATCGTCAAATGCCTCCACTCGCTTGGGCGCGAGCACTATAAATCTGGTTCACACCACACAGAAATTTAATTGCCTGTTTGTTGATAAACAAACACTCATTAACCCACCTCAATGACCCACAGTCGCAGCTTCCTCGGTGTTGAAAAAGCGGCAATTTAGGCATCCCATACTTTTTCCTGTAGTCATTTGCACATCAGCCAGGAGGCTCAAACTTATATCAAAATGCAAGACACACTGGTAGTACACATCTTTGCCACCTCCATCAATGTCACAGCGCTCCCAATTTCCCTGGGTGTCTCGAACATTCCGATAGACCTCACGTAACTGATCAAATCGGGTCATTATCTATATCGACGCATATTATGTGTAAAGATCCAAACGTACCACAAGCAACCCCACGCCCAGCGCTAGCGTGGATAGTGCACCAATTGCGCGATCTACCTCACGTACCATACCATTGACCATTGTCCACGGCAGTGCCTTGCCGTGTCGGCTACTTAAAAAGGCTTATCACGTAGTACTACTGTTGTAATACATACAGTCAGAGCATTTTCCATGTAAATAATCAGGAAAAATAGCATTTTAGTTTTTTAAAAAATTAGTATTATTGCTTTCCTGAGCGTAGTTACGGTTTATAGAGATCAGCGCCGTGAGATTTGGCGTGAAACGGCAAGTGCGTAGTTGTTGAGTTCTCAACGACCAACTCGAAAGGAGTTATACTGGGAGTATCGGATCGTATTGGCTGTAAAATGCTTAATTTCTCCTCTAAGTCCAAGCTGTCTTTGTCCGCTGTTTCTGCAGCCTTGTCTGAAATACGCTGCAAGTGACGCGAGTACCAAAGAAGAGTATAGAATATGACAACGGTAGCCAGAAAAAACATGAGCGTTGAGACGGGAGACGCCGCGGAATGAAAATTAAACAAATCATTCGTTGGCTGGTGTCCACTGATGACCCACAAATACTGAACAAAAATCCAAAAGACTGGCCACATGAGAACTAATAGCACGTGATTCGTTTTAAATAGCGGCGCTGTAAAGTAGAAATCCACCGACACGATAATAAAATGCGCCACAACACCAAATGCATGTAAAGCTGGTAGCGAAACTTTTGAGTATGGCAACGTCACGACCCTGGTAATCATAAAATGTTAAGTTAAGCAAGATACTTGCCATGATTAAGATAGTACGCACCAGAATACGACAAACGACACTACAGTTGAAGTGGTTGAGCCTTCAAAAAAGACCCAATCTAAAATTTCCCATGAACAGGCTGATGATCGTCGGTAGTGAAGTAGTATACGAGGTCCATTGAATGTTGGTTGGTACAAATGAACTGCCGCGATCTGTAGCAACATTAATTAAAAAATGTTTTGTTTGTGACTTTGAAAAGTCATTTCTTCTTACCCACATTGCTATAACAGAGGACAAAGCTGACAATGAGCCATATAATAGCAAAGGCGGTGTCACCTCTCGACCGTCACTAAAGTAACCTTCCCATGACAAGCACAAGCACTGAAAAAAAACACTACAAATAAAACTAATGGCAAATTCATAAGCACATAAGTAACGTCACATACAAATTCGATAAATGTCGTATGGTCTCACATGCCAAGGGCCCCTAACAACTTCCACGCGACGCGCTGATTTCGTGTAAAATGCGAAAGTTTGGTTTGTCTCGTGGTCTGGTATGGACTTTTGCCCTTGAAAAAGCTAAAGCAGTCGTCCCAAGCATCGAGACAATCAGTGGACACCATGGCCTTGTCCAAGTCTTTGATGTGCTGCGAGCACAGAGCGTTGCATAAGTAATAATCGAGTAAGATGGTTACACAGTGTATTGCACAGCGATAGAAAATAAATCGATATTGGAATAAATTACTTGGTAGTTTACCGAATAAAATAACAGTTCATAAAACAATTGTTTTTGATAGCGCAAAATTTTTTATATGATGCATTCCTCGTGTCAAAATGATGTGTCTGGGTAGTCTAAACATGTTGAAGCACTTCTACTGCACCCAACGAACATGAGACTATGCATTATACTATTCTTTGTAATCGCCAGGTCACAAACGTGGTGTCAGCGGCTTTTAACACAATATACATAGATCACGGAGCTAACAGGCATAATGCACCACAGCATCATACTTCGAGTGAGGAGTTGTTTGCTTCGTTGGCAATCAACCATCAGTCACAACATACAATATACATTGTAAATTTAATCAAAATTGAAGCCGAAGCTGAAGGTACTTTCCTTTGAAAGTAGATTATTGCTTGATAAAGAAGAAGATGCTTTGTCGCTATCATGCTCTCCGCACATAAGCATTTCCCATTTTGATTTTCGATGCTTGCGCACTTCTTCTTCCTTTAATTCCCTCACAACATTCGCATGAAGATCAGGAAAGTTTTTTGATAACACATCTTGAAATGTACTACTCAGCTTCGAGCGCTGCTCTATTGAGCAACCGGAAACCTGTTCTGGTTTCTCTTTTAAGAATCTGACTACATTTTTCACGTTATTTGCGCTTACAAAGTTCTGTGTAATCGCAATGCTCTCATCAATGTTGAGCACAGTATGCCACCAACCATGGGGAACAAATACGATCTCGCCCTCTTTGCATATTCCTTCCACAGGTTTTAAATGAGGAGGTAACTTCTGTACGTCTTTGTAAAATGTTACAAACCACTCCATCAAGGAGATGGGCGAAGACACTTCAGCACCATCTTCACTAGGATGAATACCAGGCGGAACATTACCAGGAGGAAACATAATCCACTTTTTGGCTCCACGAATTACACCATTCCATGCGTTTGTGGCATTCGGATCGATATGAAAACTCGAACCAGACTTTTTCGGTCCAATAATAAGCCAGCGATAATCGGGTCGCTTATCTTCTCCCAGTAGTGCAAAGTAATCGTCTTGAAAATAAGCGGGTACAGTGTAATCTTGAGCCAATTGAGGTACTTTTGTCGCAAACTCTTTGTCGAACACAAAAAGTGGCTGATCGTCCAGTAATGTTCGACAATAATCAAAATACTTCTCGATTGGAAACTGGAATCCACCAGCATACAACGTCTTTTCTTTACAAACATGACTCAGATAATTATCCGTCCACTTGTGTAATGCTGCCCAATCATTGATAGCATCAGTAATAATCACTGGTACATTTGGACGTTCGAACATGCTTTTGAAATCCGCAACGGTCATAGTCTTAGCACTACGACGCTGAATATTATCCACAGCGAGCCATGCGTCATCAATTGGCGCCACAGAGCAGTAAAATGACTGAAACAGTAGGTCGGAATAAACTCCTTGGACTCGTATTGGATTTCCTGTCCTCATTTTATCCCCAAATTTAGTCATTACATACGTGGCTCGCCACGTTTGATTTGGTATAAAATTTCCCTTCATTTCTTCGAGCACCAACACTCGCCACAGCTCGTCATGCATACTATACACATACGCTGAACGACTACAAGCTGCCAAGATTGCTAAGTCTTTTGCTGATAGATGATTTAGCAGCAACAGCAGCTGACTATCTTGCAACATGGCAAGGCGACCCAGACCAGATGTGCGACACTCCATGACGCCATTGATCGTGTCCTCAAAAAAATTGCCGATGGGCTTTACACCGTGTGGATGCTTCAGTCGTTCGCATGGGCTACATGGACCAAAAGTAGAATCATTATCGTGGTCTGCAATGGTTTTTATCCTTTTTAACGATTGATCGGTGCTTCCTCTGGTTAACACAACTTCGCGCTTGGCTTCAGACAGCATGGCACCACCACTTAGTTTCGACAAATAATAAATTCAAAGTAGTGGAATCATAGACTCGGATTTTACTTTTATATCAAAATACTTATGCAATTAATCAGCACCTTAAAATGTATTCGATTCTAATATTCCACGCCATCTTCTTCATCACCTTCAGCGGTCTCAGCTGATACTTCCTCGTAGTCCTTCTCTAATGCCGCTAAATCCTCACGTGCCTCTGAAAATTCACCTTCCTCCATTCCTTCACCAACAAACCAATGAACAAACGCACGTTTCGCATACATCAGGTCAAACTTGTGGTCAATACGAGAAAACACTTCAGCGATGGCGCTCGTATTTGAGATCATGGCTACGGCTCGTTGCACACGAGCTAAGTCACCACCAGGTACCACAGTTGGAGGTTGATAATTAATACCACACTTAAAGCCCGTTGGACACCAGTCAACAAATTGAATTGTTCGTTTCGTCTTGATCGAA